ACTCCGAACATATCAAGCTGCTAATCCTAACGATTGGAACAGCTTTTTTGGAGGATGCTATGCCCAAAGGTTGAACGTCATCTAGGGAATCCGTTTTTTGGGAAGTTTCTTCCTGGCTGTACCGAGGCGCTGAAGCAAAAGACATGTACTGAACGATGCGAGGCTGTTTATCAGCCGTTGCCAGAAGTACTCATTCTATGTCAAGTGTAATGAGCACAAGGTTTTTGCAACCGGTTAAATATTCCTTTGGATGTCTATTTCACGGCCCACGGCATACAAGTCAACAAGCAATGTCATTTCGATTCATGTGGCGTATCCCATCACGGAAACAAGGCTGATAAGCGTGCTGACAACCAGAAAATAGCAACCGTGGTTTGAGAAATGGCAAGTACCTGAACAAGAGCGGGAGTAGTACAAGTAGAAGTCGATGTTGTTGTCCCTGTCGTGGCAGCAACAGCCAAAACGCTTCAATCTCTGAAATAGTTTGGATGTCAACTCGGACCCCATACACCCCCCCAATGTACTACCAGCTCTAAATTGTCGCCGGGCCTCCAGATCTAGATTGTCTCATGGCTTAGTCAAGGCACCAAGCATTGACTACGCGGGCACTGTTTTTGTTGGCAACCAGGCATCTGGGAAAGAAGAGGGTAAAGCCGAGAAGATATGGCTGTGGTTTCACATTTTCATTGCACAAGAGGATTTTCAAATTTTCAATGGCTGGAAATTAGGCGAGGATGTAAGTCTGAATTCGGCGTCGAGATCCAGGAACATATTCTGTTTGCACGGCCTAAAAACACTTCATCCAGGATATGTACCTTCAATTGCATTAGGACACCTAATATAATTGTGGGTAATGGGTATAACGCTGAGTCGAAGAGTATTGGGCTTATTGGGCTCCTGGGTGCATGGCCTTCATGGTTGAATTGGCTTCTGGGCTGCGAGGCAGCAGATAAAAGTTCAAGTCCCATTGATTGTTTCTCTTTCAGAGATACCTAAACCACCAAAGTAGGTAAAATAATGGCCCAAATCCCCTAAATATAGCCCAAAAGGCCTTTATTCTACATACTTTGGGGGTCCAGGTACGCAACATTTATTACTATGTCAGATTATTGTTACTGGATTCGCGTTTCGTTCCTCAGCTTTCGGGTCATTTGTTGGCCTTATTCAATTTAAGGTTTAGGGTTTAGGGTTTAGGGTTTAGGGCTGGCTCCCAAGATACCAGATCTTCTGCTGCCTCCTGCAGGCATCGAGTAGCTGAGGAGCTGGATTGGTCGACTCTACACTTTGGGGGTTCCTGACCCCAAACCCTACACCCTTTTGGGCCTGGGGAAGCCAAGAACTGGGGCAGGGTTCTCCCCACTAAACCCTAAATCCTCAACCCTAAAATCCTCAACCCTAAACCCTCAACCCTAAAATCCTAAACCCTAAATCCTCAACCCTAAAATCCTAAGCCCTTTTAACTATCAGTGCGAGGCCGTTCATCATTGTCCATCCCAATCACTCCTTCTCTCCCGACACAGCCGATGAGTGCCATGAGAAGCTACTACAAACCCTATGCACCCCCCATAGTCCCTATACACCTTTTAGAACCCCATGGTCCCTATAAACCCTATAAAACCCCATGGTCCATATAAACCCTAGAAGGCACAATACTTGTTGGGAGTCCTTCCCTTCCCCTCCTGCAGTTTGACGCGGCCTCCGCAACAAGCCCCAAATCCCGAAGCCACAACCGCAAACCCAGGTCCTGAAGCGAAAAGGAACCGCCGTCCAAAAGCTTTGAAACGCCAGCCCAAGCCCTCAGCCCTAATCCCAAAACATACAGACCTGAAGCTCTACAACCAAGTCGAATTGCACCCTAAAGCTACCAACAGCAAGCCAGAGAAAGTCTGCACTAAAACCCTGCAAACCTCAAGAACGGCGACTTCTTCGCTTTGAGAGACCTGAATGGCGACGGTATTGTTTGGGGCAGCGACGAGGTGCCGTCGCAGTGTTCAGGCTTCTCAAGGTTTCTGGGGTTTAGGGTTGGTCCATTAAGGGTTTAGGGTTGAGTGGTTAGGGTTGGTCAATTAAAGGTTTAGGGTTGGTCGGTTTAAGGTTCAGGGCTCTAGGGGTTTAATTAAGGCAGCTATTGAACTCAATGATCAGAACATGCCCTTTCGACATTCCCTAAGCGGTCCTGGTCTCTCACGAGATCAAAACTCCCAAATCGGGGTACATACCTTTTAGGGGGTGCCCTACCATGAGGGTAATAGTATTGTTGCGTCTATATTGGGGCGGGGTCTCCCAATTGCTTGGAACTGCCAAATGCCTTCCCGCTGCCAGCAACTCTCCTGAAATTGTCTGGAGGAGAAACTCAAACGTGCCAGGCCACAGCAAGATCTGTTGGTGTAGGATTTGGGGTTTAAGGTGTAGGGACGTATGCTCGAAACCTTTCAGCCTTACCAAATCCACCAGGAGCTCGGACTGTTTTCTGCAAGTCCTGGGAGACCGACTCACAAAATCATAGGCAACAGTTTGGAAAACTTGGTTTCTTGCTGGACTGGTGGTGTTTTTTCCTTTTGGGCAGCAGATGCATGCCTGCAGGCGCAGGGGGCGCTGACTTTGAGGGAGGCTTTGGCAAGCAGATTCCAGGTTGTGGGACAGTTTCCAGCATGGCAGCAACAGTTGCCAGTGCAGGAAATTTACCATCATCAGGAGGTTGCTTCTTTGTTAAGCAGAAGGGATGACTGCCATGGGGCATATGAGGGTCATGAACACCCTATACCCTAAATATGCGGAGACCTCGCTGCTGCTGCACAGTGGCTACAGTGGATGGATGGAATCTTGCTGTGCTAAGGGCCCCTTAGGATACTAAGATTCCTATGTTGCGTGGAGGAAATCTTGTACCACTTCACCCCAAAGTACGATGATCTGCCATTAATGGGGCTACATGGGAGGGTGAAAGATTTCTCACAATAATTAGGGCATGTAAGTTAGAAGCTTGCAAGGTATCCTCCGTCCACAAATGTTGCCCCAACTCCTACACTCTAAACCCTAAGCCCTAAACCCTAAACCCTAAGCCCTAAAACAGTTTCTGGCTTTGTCTTGCTAGAAGTTTGCCTCGAGCTTAGGAACAGCCAGGTAGGGAAAACTTACGTTATCACCAGGTAATATCCTGTACAGTCTCTTAGAACTACTGTTATATAGCGATTCTTGAAATTAGGGGTACCTTTTTGGGCGTGCCCATGATAAAGATTATAGCACTTTGGGGTCTATATTGGGGTCCCCCTACTTCTCGAAACTGCCATATAGGACACTCGTATTTCGCAATATGCCTTCCTCGAAGAAAGGGGTCCGCAGCATTGCGTTGGCATCATGGCTGGTGGTGGCTTCAGATGATCCCCTAAACCCCAAACCCTAAACCTTGAGATGATCGTCAGCGCTGCCCTGGAAGATTCTCCTCCACATCCTGGCCATGATCGTGTTTCAACTGCTAAATGCCAGGACCCTGTGGATTGCAATGAGCTGAGCTCCGTCCTGGGGGCCGCTGTAGATGAAGAACCTCATGATGTCGGAGTTGGCATGGCTCCTTATTTGAGCTATCGTCTAAACTCTTTAAAGGGGGGTTAAATGTCGGGATGATATAGGAGACTACTGAACTACTGTAGGGGTTACTGAGGGGGATACTAGGAGTGTACATAGACTATAGCTCATTTGGGATTGGAATTCAGGGACCTTGTATGCAAATACCATTGTCTTCTGACCCACCCCAGCTGCCCTCATAGATTTGTCTCCCCGGAGAAGCATGAAGCGCCTCTCCAAAAACGAATTTTGGGTTGGCCTTTCAGCTTCAAAATCCGTTGGCCCTTGCCAGTACTTATGAGGGCCCGGAAAACAACACAGGGACTATACCGTCCTGAAACGAACATGAAGCCCCACATGGCCACTTTTCCAAGCACTGGGGGGCTTCCTGTTACTTTGGAGGGTTGCTATCAGGGACTTGGATTCAACCCCCTTCCAAGACCCTATACCCTAAACCCTAAACCAAGGAAACCTTCGGCGAAATCATGGATCAGTTTGTTGACCTGATTAGCAGAATGGGTGCGACAAGACCCGAGGCCGGAGCCTAGTGGCGCGTAGCAGTGCAGAGTTCCCAAAAAATCACCAACGGCAGTTACAAGACAACCTCCCGAAAGCCCTAGTGCTAAGCCCCTATATAGTACACAGAGCTTCTAAAGCCAGACTCCCTCTTAGTTCTGCTTCAACCAACTTAGATTCCCAGCACGAAGGAGCGGAGCGAGAGACCTTACCTACTGCTCAAACCCCCAAGCCAAGGCGTTTTGAAAACAAGGGCTGGTTTAGGGCTTCTTAGGTAGGAAAACGCTCGAGCCATAGCGAGGTCATAACCGCCTATATCTCAAATAGTCATCATTATGGATAGCACTAGTGTATGGCACTATGCCTGCCATTGGTTTCGTTGCTGAGACTTCTTGCTGCATCAGGTTCACAGAGGTCTCTCTGGCAGGAGCATTGACTGGTGTAGTTACGCTTTAATTCCCTCCCCTAATATCAAACCCGCCCCCCCCCACCTCCCTAATAATAAATGTCCCAATATATTATAAGCTACCATAATGGCGAGTATTGAATATTGGGGGGGTTGGGGGGTTGAATATTAGGGGGCGGGGATTAGCTGCTGTGAGCCCCTTTGCATTGAACCAAGAAGCCACAAGAACCAATCTTCTCAGGTGGTTCGAGCTGTGCCTGTGTTCCGCGTCCTGCAGCAGGGGCTTCGGTACCAAATGCAAGGGCGGCTCTTCCTCTCCATGTATGCGTGGAGCGAGGAGGCCCTCGAGATCAATGAATTTTGGTCCCATAGCTGGCAGGCCGCTTTGTGGATGAAGTACCTCAATCTCCTATTGTTGTACCATGCATTTCCGGCATGCCTTGTGTCTATGCTCGCGGCGCTGCTGGCCGCTGGCGTCTTCATGTCGGGTGCATTGCCGCCGGTGGGCAACTTCTGCATGTACATTGGGATTGCAGTCTACTGGCTGACCTTACTAGTCTTTCGACGGCAGACACGGGTTTTCCTGGACATCGCCTGCATTGACCAGCAAGACTCCAAGTTGAAGTTTGAAGGGCTTGTCAGCATGGGCGCTGTCATCAAACGCTCCCAGAGCATGTTGGTGCTGTGGGACTCCACATACGTGAAGCGACTGTGGCTTTGCCCAAGTCTTGCAGACATTTTTTTTAAGCTTGGCATAGGGAGTTTTTCATGCTGAGGCTGCTTCATTATTGTATCAACCCTGAGTGCGTAACTCTTGTAGCCAGCCCTTTGCTCTTGTCAGCCTGTGTAACCTTCGACAGACTGAGCTGCCTAAAGGAACATAGAGGAATCATACTGTAGACATACATTAGACAAGATTGGTTTCCTATTGCAGTCACTCAGTTGAAGTTTCTTGGCTGCAACGCAGCAAGCCCTTACCTGAAGCACGGCATCAGCCAGGTGGTGCATCTTTGAACTCGGAGCCTTCCTACATACCCATGACATGAGCGCTCTCAAGGTTTGTCCCACTTATTTGGGACCTGTAGTCATGGGGTCGAATGTTGCCCTCACTCTGGTGATGGTGCTGTCCCGGTCCGTCTCAGATGAAGACGCTTGGATTTTCATGTCGGTCGTGGCGGCTTTGAGCCTCCCCTGCTTTACGCTGATGGCGTCCTCGGCCAGAGCATACTACAGAAGTATCAGTACGATGGATCAGCAGTTAAGCCAGTTCTCGCCTGCATTGGTTGACAGCTCCTGCTGCCAGTGTGGCCATGAGGACGGTAGCCTTTGCGACCGTAAGATCATTCTCCGATCCTCGTTTGCATGTTGTGTTGCTCAAGAACCCATTTCCACATTGCACACAGATTTTGGTGCATTACGGGGGCAAATCTTGCAGAGAGTTCGGGCTTCAGGCTTTTATGGTGGATTGCATTCTAGAAGCCGTGTGCTGGACGCGTGTGTGACGAGTTCAGTCAACCCTAAAAGGGTGTGGGGGTTCAGACTGGAGGGCTTTTTGCCATGATGTTAATGGCAAGACATGCTCCAAGTTCTTGGGGTCTGGGGTTTAGTTAGGAGCCTGCGGGAGTCCAGATGCAAAAAGTTAGGCGCCCTCGAGAGAATGTTGGGCACTGCATAGATCTTCAGAGCCCAATGCTTTCTGATGTCACCTCTCCAAACCATTCTTAAAACCTGGCTGAACTGTTCCTTTTACACAATCAAATGCCAGGAGCGTCCTACTTTTGGACAAATTCAGGTCAACCTCTTACAGGTGGTTACTAGGAATGAAGTACAGGAATACAGGGTTTGTCATTTAAGGTGAAATAGACCAAAGGTACCCTTTCCTTCCTTTCCCGAGTATTCCTAACCACTGTCAGACACTGAGCTTGGAGAATTCATGAGTTGAGTGGCAGTGAAGGTTTCAGGCTTTAGGGATTGGACCCTATTTCTATCCTATGTGCCATGCCCAAAAACAGGGGCAGTAATTTTGCCCGTTCTCACATGCGATTTACATGCTTCCACTTTTTTGTGGTAGCTTGCTTTAGCCTAAAGATTGTTTGCAATCAAGGTGTAAGAAGTATATTATAGGATGACGACCCACCCTGTAATAGTGGTTTTGTAGCAATGCAAGAGTACCCTAATATAATCACCATTATCCCTTACAGTCACTATTACTGCGTGCAGGGTCCACCTAAATGACATTATACTCAACCAGTCTGCATCCCCAGCAAACCAGTAAGGATGTGTGCAGGGATGGTTCGGATCTCTAGAGACCTTCGAACACTACGTGCGGACAGATGTGCGCCGGGCCCTTCGTAGACAGCTGGCAAACGAGGCCTTCTCCTATCGCCGCATTGCGCAGGGGTCGGCCCCAGTGCTGTGGGTCTTTGTGGACTGGCTCGTCTTAGCCTGGGTCTCGGAAGATGCTGGGTTGCTGTTTAGGAGCTTAAACGAAGTTGCAATAGTAAGCAAACCCGGCTATTCATTATGTACTCTTATTATGGTAGCTTTGGAATACAAGTGCCTTGGCAGCAACTCAGGATTATCTGCTCATTATCGGGATGCCAGCTCGCGCCTGCTCATATGCCTTCGTCATCCTCCCCTGCTGCTTCAGTTTGGCTTTGAGCCTCTGCAGTAAACTTCGCGCCCGATGCAGTTGCTTGGTCTTGGACCTCATGGTATCCTCAGGGGTCGTGGCTGCCGGAGTTCTGACATTCATCATCTTCGCGGTCATGGAGAAGCTTCTTTGGCAGGCTTTCGCGCCACGTTACTACATCGGGGACTTTGTGCTCTTGCTTCTCGGCGCTGCTGTCACGTGGCTAGTATTTCGCTTGAGGCTAGTATTCTGCTGAGTAGATGGACTTTCTCAAGACATGCTCTATGTAGGGCCCACGATCCTCAACTAGAATCCCTATGTATCCGATCCCTGAGATCCCTCACCTTTTTCGGAAGCTCCTAAATGGCCTAGCAAGAAGCAGGAGCAACCATTCCAAAAGCTCCTGGCACTTGCAAAGCCTTCGGCCTGACCTGCTTGCCCCAAGGGGTCCATGCACCCAGTATAGTTCAGGGTTTAGCGTTTAGGGTATTTACCTGGGCCATGAGGTAACCACATGGGAACCCCTTCGCCGCCCCAAGTACATCATATAAAGGTACATTGACCCTTTGGGTGAGGGCGTCACTTTTGCGGGTCAAATTCTTCAGCCGTCCACAAAGTGGGGTGTAGGATTCAGCTCTATGCGACACCATGTTCTGCCAGAAGTGTTCATGTCTTGAGCCAAGTAGAACCCACGGAGGCCAATATAGTTTAATTTAGCATTATACCTTCAATGGTACTTGGACCCTTAATATCATTGAAGGGATATAGCTTGATTAAAGATTTTGGGCTCCCTGGGAGGAGGGATGGGCTTGCATCAGGCTTGCAATCCACGGTTTCGATTTGATGGAAGGATCACCTGCTCAGAAACGGATATGGTAGACTGAATGATTAACAAGAAAAAAATCCCTCATATGCGTTATGCATCAAAACCGCATTCTACTTATTCAGGCTCCTACACTAAACACTAAAAGCCACGGCATGGTGCCTGGCACAGACGCTGCACCGGCCGCATGGTGTTGCTTCTGATGTGGGCATTTCTCAGAGAGTGGGCCCCCGGCGCGCCCAGCATAATACTCACAGCAAGTACCCGGAAAAGGGGCCCATGGTTTTAAGAGCCCGTGATGTCGAGCTCCTTTTTGACCCGTTCTTCTTTTGGATCCTTTGGCAGTTGTGTGGAGGCGATTTTGTCGCTCTGTGCTGTGAAGGCATAGGCTCCATTTTTGAGGAACTTCCCGGAGAGCCCCATACCCCTTAAGTAAGGAATATACCTTAAATGACATTAAGATCCCTGATATGATTCAAGGTGAATACCGCAAGTCAAGGGCATTGGGTTCCCCGGGTTCTTGAACTGATGCAGAATTCACGTCAAAACGCCCACGCAGTTTCTGGATAGTGCCGCGAAGCTGCCCGAGTCGTTTCTCATTTCTCTTGTAGAACCCTGATTAATAAGCCCCTCCTTTTAAGGGTCTGAATATTTCGATCCCTATCCCAATCCCTATTGAGGGGAAGGGCTTTATCAATCACGGCTCCACTTTGCAGCTCATTCTTAAAGTAGAAACCTTTATAGTTAGGAAGACTGCCCCCTCATCCATAAAGAGCAAACACTTCTTTTTTTCTTAAGTAGATAGAACATGGGGTATATAGGGATAATGGAAAAGAAATGGAAAGTACAACTACTATTTAGGGTTTAGGGCTTAGGGTTTAGGATTATAGTCCCCCTTATGTAGATAGAATATGGGGTAATATTAGGGTTATGTTGGGGTTCTATGGGAATAATGGAAAAGAAAATGGAAACTTCTATAATGGGTTACATGGGGTATAGAATATGGGGTGTATGGGGGTCTTGTTATAATATACCCCGAGCCATATTCTATCTACTCAAGGGGACTATAGGCCAACAAACTATTTTGCAGGGAACGTGTGTCTTGGCAAGACGGTCTTCTTTTACCAAATCGAGTGCTCCAAAGAAAGTATCCTCCACTTGCTCTTTTAATCCTGACATAGTTTTTGAGGTAGCGGTTCCCCTTTATATGCGCAAAAATGACAGGTTTCTACCAGCAGACCCCTTTCAAGACAGGGACTTTTGGGAGCTTTCCAAAAGAAGGGTGCATGTGTGTGTATATATATAATATATAAGTATAATATTGGCCTCGCAGTAATGACCTCCTGGGGGAGCCCTGGAGCCAGAATGCCCAACAATTAGGTTTAAACATCTATTTCGACTTAATTATGCTCTAATCAAAAATGTTGCCCCGCAGCAGTATGCTATAAATGCGGATCTTGTTGGAGCTGTGTTCCGGCGACGGGATTTTTTTATAAATGTGGGGCTAGTCCTTTATGTGAAGTCAAACATTACACATTTGTTGACATACTTGTTCACACAAGCTCCAGCTCTTTCACGTCAGTTCTGCACAACACCACAGACCCGAGCTAAAAACAGAAAACAGGTGCAGAAATGTCCCGCACTCATGGGTTCCCTACTGGCCCCCCCCCCCCCCCCCATAAGGGAACCCATGACACACGTTCCGTTCAAAGCCTGCACCTCTGTCTAACTTAGAGTTTAGGGTTTGGAGTTTATATGGTTTGAAGTTTAGGGTTTAGGCTGTCCAGCTTCTGATTTCTAATCAATTAAAGGAGCAACCACCACAGTCAGGCGCGGCTCCACCTGTTCTATGTACACACCGAGGACAACTAGTTCAACTACTTCCAGTAGTAATAACAGTAATCACAGTATGTAATTACAGTACTAATTGTAATAGTAGTAGTAGTAGTAGTAGTAGTCATACCAGGAATAGCAGTGAACAAATAATAGTAGTTTCGAATAACTGTAATCAGGCCTCGCGCTTGAAATAAGCAACAAGTCAAGCAGCATCCGGAGGTGCAGAAATATTGGACAGCGTCTGCTTTCTCCGCTTCCTCCTCTCCGGCAATTGGCCCAGGCACCGTGAACATGGTTTAGGGTTGAGGGTTTTTGGCTCAAGCCATTTTGGCTCAAGCCATTTTGGCTCAAGCCATTCTGGTTCAAGCCATATTGCTACGAAGCCTACATGGGCAGCTTAGTTTGAGTGCACACACTATGAGCTTCCATAGACAGCAATCGCCAGAAACTCATGTCCTCTATTGGATTCTCTCTGCGATTCTCTCCGCACATGACGGAACCGAAGTTGGCTCGTCACTTGAATTCGACGTTCCACTTTCTGACCTCTGGCGAGCTGCTGCAACATTTCGTTCTTGCAGAGCATGATTTAAACCAAATAATTTGAATCATCAGCCTGTACGGACACTCCGTACTTCCACGCAGACTGAGGCCAGCATCATCACTGAAGCCGAGTGCGAAGCTCTCGTGGGTGATGTCATGAGCCAGATCAGAAACAAAGTCATGAGCCAGCTCCAGGAAAAGCTTGCTCAAGCAGAAGCTTTGGCACAAGGGCAGGATTCAATTATTCAGATGCTGCAGCAGATGTTCGCATGTTGGAGGACAGGCTGCAAACAGAAAAGTCTTATCAACCTCCTGCTGCTGGCCCTTCGCATTCTCGATTACCAGCCCAGTCAGCAAAATGAGGATCATGATCATGGTGCAATGCCATCCTCTTGAACCTTGCGCGCAACCATTGAGATCTGCCAGGACCAGCACCTTCAAAGCAGGCGGTAGGTAAAACTACTGCGATGTGCCGACAGACAGGCTCAAGCCATGCCGTCCGAAGATAGTGAGTGGGGCGACAAGCCGTGGTGTCGAGACTGTGCCGATTTTCAAACTCAGAAATTCCACGCGCGTTGAGTGAAACATAAGTGGCTCCTTCTTGCATCCCATGTCATTCTGAATTCATTTCCTCGTTAGGCCTTGTTCGGAGAACGGCTATGCGAGTTCAAGGTGGTGGAACGCAACAAGCCAACCAGGGGCAAGGTAGGAAGACTCATCACCCTTATACGTCACAGTATCGACACGGTCATCCCACTTGCTAAGTCCTTTGACTCTCCAAGTGGTGGCTAGGGTTTGGGTGTTTTGCTTGGGGGATTCAAGGCTGAGGCTCAGGGCTTCAGACTGCTTACGTCGGCTCTGACATCTGGTCACAGCTTCTGTCGGTGTATGCTAAAATCTGAATATGCCGTGCAAATCATGCTGCCCGAGAGCTTCAGGAAAAGTAGAACAGGATAGAGCTTGATCATGATGTTGTTATGATTGCTATGAGCCTCCTAGCAAGTCCTAGGAATATTGGGCTGCTTCTTGGGTTGCTGGTGATGATAATAAGACGACTTTTTAGGCCGCGCTTGCTTGCAGGGTTGCACCGGGTAGGAACCACAGACCGTTAGCCTACTCGGGATATTATGAGAGTCCATAGAAGGAATACAAGGTAAAGTGCCCCTGTTGATAATACAGATGGCCCCTAATACATGTGCATTGATATGTATACACACAAAGGTACATATGTTTACCTTTGTATTTATACGTGCGGGCTACTCTACTGAAAATTGAATATTACGGGGAGGGGGGGCTAGGTTTTTTCATATCCATGGCCCATGTTGGGGAAAACCAGGTTGCTTTGTTCAAGACTTGCGGGTCCGATCTGGCTGGCGGAGTAGTGAAGGGGCTGGAGATCGTTCTAAGGGGGGTTGTAGACGTCATATAGGGGCAAACAGGATATATGGGATTTAGGATGTGCGGTTTAAAAGGTTTAGGTGACGATCACCTTGTAATAGTAGGATAATCACCACAGTTTTCTGGGTGGGCAGTTCACCTTACGTTTGTGGTAGCAAGAGCATGCCAAGCAACAGATTCTGCGGTTGAATGAGGCTTTATTTAGGGCATTGGGGTATCAGTCTTAGGA